ATAAACGTAAATTTTGGATACTGGCTAGTTTTATACCGTAGAAATGACGCAATGACTATAAAGAAAAATGATCAATGAAACAGATGCGACATATAAGGCTCAATTTTCATAAATTTCCAGTGGCTTATTACTGGTATGAAATTCATACATACATACCTGTTTTATATTAGAACTTTTGACTGATAAATGACCGACTGGTACTGTGAATATAAAAAATCACACGATAATGTGCTGTAATTAGTAATGTAATGTTTTCGTTTAAAATTTTGGTGTACACTGATTTATAAACGATAATAATAATTTTATACAGTGGGCAGTGTTGGCCTAGTGGCTTCAATGTGCGACTCGCATCCCTGAGGTCGTAGGTTCGATCCCCGGCTGTGCACCAAAGGACTTTTTTTCTATGTGCGCATTTAACATTCGCCCGAACGGTGAAGGAAACCGACATGTCTTAGACCCAAAAAGTCGACGGCGTGTGTCAGGCACTGGAGGCTGATCACCTACTTGCCTATTAGATTTAAAAATGATCTGTGGCCCATATAGGTTGTAGCGCGACTGATTTTTTATTAAATTATTTTATACACATTGCAAAACTTATACTAATATACGCATTCATTCATAAACTTGAACGCTCAAGTTCAACTTCCCCATAATAGTGACGCGACGCCGCCTGAATAAAATATCGCTCTTTTTTCTCGATCCGATTTCATAGCCATGCCTTGCTTTTAATGAGAACATAATGATGAAAAATATGGCATTACCGTCTTCCCCGTAATATTAATCGCTGCAATTTTTCTGCTAGGGTTTATTGCGTGAAATCGTGGATAGTGCTTTTTACTGTCTCTGACTATACACAATACTAGAGAGTTCACTTTGAGATATATTGCTGTGCTTACTAGTAATCACTGGGGGTTATAAATGCATTTTATTTGTAGGATATACTTTGATATAGTACGCCACTAAGGTTTTCTATAGTATAACGAATTCAAATATTGCATTTTTATTATAAAAATAGATCATGAATTCGCAATCCGGTGTAATTATAATGAAATTGGGTTGAAATGAGTTATTTGATTTTCTTCGTATCATTAAGTTTTTGCTTTTTTAAAGTTGTTTGTTACCAACAGTTACTGTTTACATGGCTTGTATGCTAATGATATGTTCTAATAACTCATTAATTTATGCCCATTATTCAGCGCAGTATTCAGACAATATTATTGTTGAAGTTCAACCGATGTTATGATGTTCAAATTATTATATTAAGTTTACCAACATAATAATTGTCTATTTTTCATTAATTGTTTTGTAGTAGCTATATAAATATAGATTTTAGAGAGAAGATTAATTGAACTAGCGTTTATTATTGTAGTATAAATAAAGCTACACTAGAAGTTCAGAAGTTTCATTCTCGGTGAAACATTATTGTGCTGTGTTAAAACATACAGTCTGCCTGTGAAGTGTACAACAGTAATTTGGCAAACGCGATTGCTTTGTAATTAATTGAATAATGTTTTTTTACAACGTTCTAAGTAGAAAATTCGTTTTTCAAAACGAAAACATTACATTATAAAAATTGAACATAATTAAATAAAAAGAAGGCAACTGGCGGCCTTATCGCTTTCGAGCGATCTCTTCCAGGCTTTTGTGAGGATTTTTTTTGTTTGAGGACATTTTGAATATAGAAGAGGAGCATAAATCCGACGTAGTTGTATATTTGTTATACTCCATTAAATGGCATTTATATTCATACCACTATTAAATAAAGCCACTGAAAACCATTAAAAGTAATTAGTCATCGTTAAAAACAGATACTAAATAATTTTTCTTAGAACAATTGAAGCCGAGGAGTGTCTGGAATAGTTTTGGGGCAAACTCTTCACGAAAATTACCGTCTTGATTGCTCCTAAGATAAATTATTGGAGTCTGAAGACGATTTTACGACATAAATCTACTAGATGTGACTGTAAATAAAAAGTTACGAAGCATAAAAAAGCATTAATTTTATTACCATCATAGAATCGTGCATAATATTTATGTTGTGTTATTTACGTAAAATATGTTATTATTCACTATTTTCTGTGTTGTGTAAGATTCAGATAATAAAGGAGAGTCGTTTCTGTGCGGGTATTATCAAATCTAGAAATTATCAAGTAAACAAAGGATACCTAAGATTATATACTTAATTTAATTATTATCCTATGTATGTATGTATGCCCAGAGAAAGGTGTTCATAACCTTAGTGAAGCGACTCGCACGCGGAACTAAAAAAATATGCTAAATGTAAAAAAAATAATAAAAAAAACATAGTTAGCGATCATTTGTCACAGTGACAGCCAGTGTAAAATGTCACATGCCTTATCTAGTAGTAGTAGATCCAGGTGACCGGTTATAAATGTGAGACGTCTAAAAAGGTGTCGCTTCTCAGCCGGCTGCGAGCGCCTGATAAATGTACTGCTGGATCCGCCTCAATTTGTATTAATATTTATAAGACCATAGTTGATACACCTGACATCTATTATACGGTATGAATTTAATTTTGTTTCATTTTATATAGAAGCTGAAAAATCGTTTATAAAAATTAGGAACCATGACTTTCGTAGACTAATTAAAAGCTTAGTATAATGTCAATGTTACAATATGTTTACAAGAGGTGTATAATTTATTTTTCGTTTTAGTTTGATATTTGCACTATATGTTACACGCAACCCCTGAAACAATCATTATTGAAAATGACTTTTGTCTTAACTAATTATGAAATTATGAGTAGCCTTGTTGAGGTCGTAGGTTCGATCCCCGACTGTGCACCAATAGACTTTCTTTCTATGTGCGAATTAACATTTGCTCGAACCGACATGTCTTAGACCCAAAAAGTCGACGGCGTGTGTCAGGCACTGGAGGCTGATCACCTACTTGCCTATTAACTTTAAAAATGATCATGAAACAGATTCGGAAATCTGAGGCCAAGACCTAAAGAGGTTGTAGCGCCACTGATTTATAGTATATTTTACTTATGAAATCATATCATTGTAACCCGTAATACAGGTGTGTATATGTTACAATAATTCTTTTTCTGATTTATTAATCTATAAACGTCTTGCTTCTCGCATAAATGCCATAGACTAAGGTTCTTGAAGATATTAATACTAGGAGCTCATATCGCGCATATCATAAAACTCTTCACCTTATATACGACGGGCGACATCAAAGAGCCTCGGATATCATATATTTTATTACTAGCATTTTCTATGTTATATTGGCATTATATTAACTAAGGAAAAGCTATAAGTATTTTGTACATCGTATCCATTTTCGTTTTAATTAAGTCTCTTAAATAATATGAATAAAGCAAGGATTTTTGATACACAGATTTTGCCAATAAGTTTAAGTGACTTAGCTAATAGGTTATAATAATAGCCTTAATTGCGGTAAAATACTTATCATAGTACATACAAATGTGAAGTACTATGAACACAAAAAATTAATCGGCAGGCCGGTTAATTTCTACTTGTCCTTGGACATATATCCTCTGAGAGCTTCCACTCTTCTCGGTGTCTAGCTTTGCGTAGCCACATAGGGCCAGCTACTCTACTTATATCATATTCTCACTTTGTATTTGTCTTCCTCGTTTTCTTTTGTCATAGCGCGGAAGCCATTCTATCTATTTTTTCGTCCATTTATCTTTGTCTTCTCTCATGATGTGTCCTGTCCATTTCCATTTCAATATTTTACTGAAGTAACAGCATTTCTAAACTTTGTCATGTCTTTTATATCTTCCAGTTGTACTCTATCTTTCAACTTCAGACCTAGAACCATTCGATGCTATTTTGACATTATATTTTTTAGCCAATAGGTGAGTAATTAACAAAGCACTCTAAAAATTTTACTATTGGTACTGCAACGTTCCATACACATTACTGCGTCTGTTCCAGTAATTTGTTTAAAACTATGATAGCTAGACAAGTATTATGGTCTTTACCAACCCAAAACAGTAATTGTTTCAGTGGGATTCACATTATAATGTGTGACTACCGCTAAGCAACCTAAATTGGTTGAATATTATCTAGAGACCTAGCCACGGTGAACTCATGGCTCCAGTTTATTTATTATTTAACACTTCGTTGCAAGTATACTGAATAGTGCGATTAAAATAATTGAATAAAAAGGAGAGCCACTGGCGGCCCTATCGCTTTCGAGCGATACACGGGCATATTTCTAAATTATCTTAACTATCGAGTATATTTTTCAAAGGTTGCAACAACCTTGATACAAAGAAACGAAACCACAATATGTAAATGATATACGTCATCTAAAACTAATATTATTTGTGATGCAAATCACATGCATAGATCTCTACGCTTCGCTTGTAAAGTGCTTTGCCCCGCTCCAAATATTGACCAGGTCCCTTGTGAGGGGATCATAACACGTTCGAACCGGATACATAATGTTTGCTGACATCTATACTAACCTTTACCTTAAGCATAGCTCAATTATTAGTCTAATACGATTCTTAAAACTTGTGGTTCGTTTGGAAGCTGGTTTTCGCACGGTAATGGAAATTCGATGAAAATTAGTGTAAGTGCAAACACAAGTTTATATGAATCGATTTCAACTTTTTATTGCTTATTCAAATAAAAAAAAATTTAATAAAAAAAAAATAACAACGACTAAAAGGATACTTCATAACAAAAACGTAACAAATAATTGGTACAAAACAACGTATTTTACAGCCTACCGAAGCTTTTAACAGAATTTATGCTAAATAATCTCATAGAAATGGATAATGGCACTAATACTAAAACTAATTTAACTTGTACTTTAGATGTAAATAACAATATTTCATTGAGTATACTAAATCAGACTTTAGAATTTAATATTGCATTAGAAATAAGCGTTGTGTGAAGGTTTCGGCATTTTAAATGTGTAATTGTAATTTAAATAAATGGTTGTCTAATGTTACTTTGTAGCCCTTTCTAGCTAATATAAGCTAAAAATAGAGAACCCTAATTCTGTACGCAAGATTCATATGTGGGTATCATATATTTTATATTGATAAATGCATCCGGTCCTCCATAGCGTTCGAGTATTTGCAAAGTGTCTTCTATCAAATCTGCAACGTTCTCTCCTCGGGTAGATGTGTGATCGATACCTGACCCCAGATTTCCTGAAACAAAAATGTTATGTTAAAAATTGATTATAAGAATTTTTTCGTTCGCCATTTGTTAGTTTTCCGTAATAATTTTGTCTCAAGAATTACGATGCATAATCTAGCATATTTTGCTCACATCCTTTTAATCATTAGCATTTCATTTTAATAGCTGGTGAATGTTGCGCGTGCGTTTGATTTTCCTTTCTAAGTGCGCATTTAACACTCGTTCGTATGGTAAAGGAAAACATCGTGAGCAATCCGGAATGCTTTAGTCCCAAAAATTCGACAATGTGTCAGGCTGATCAGGTGATTCGTTTTAATACGGAAGTAGGTACTTGCCTATTAAAAAGGTTGAAAAGTAATGACCACGAAACAGATAAAAAAATCTTGGGTGCAACCTACAAGGTCGTAGCGCAGGTTTTTATCATTTTTATAATTTCATTAGCTTCTCGCAATCATTTATAATCATACATAATTAAGTAACGATACATGTGATTCATTAAACTTGTAGGAAAAGTTAAAGCGAAATACGAAATCGTATGTAAAAATCTCTTTAAAGCCCTACTCGTACAAAGAAACCACATTTCAAATAAATATGTCCGTTCCTTCCCGTTTACGTTGAGATTTAGCACACAAGAATGACTTGTGTGTCAGGTACTAAAGAGGTATGTAATTTGCAAACATTACCCGCTAAAGTAAACGACACAAAACGTCACGGAAGAGGCGCCAAACCTCGGCCGCAACTATTTGGCAACACGAGAAATGAGGGAACGTCGTGTAGCTTTGCGACTTTATAGTCGCATGACCAAACGTTAGATCTTGGTAATATTTAGCAAAATAAGTTTAAGCTGTAATTACCGTTTAAATAATTATTTATTTGTATATTTACTCATTTTATTTGTTACACAAATAATTATTCATAAATGTCTAAATTAAGCTTAAAATATTTAAATAATGATTTGTCATGTTTATTTCCAAAGAGAAACTAGTCTTGAGGACAACGTTATCATCATTTCATACTTTTTAATATTAATAAATACTTAAATCAAACGTTATATCTAGGTAATATTATACGAAATATGTTCAATAAAAAAAGTTATCAAAAAAAGGCAATCTGCAATTACATTATTTGTATATTTACTAATTTTGTTTGTAACGAAACGAGAGTCTTGGGGACAAAATATTCACCATTTCAGAATTTATATTATTAATAAAAACTTTTAAAAATATAATTCAGCCATAGCCTGTTTAAAAACTCTTCGTAGCAGCTTCTTGCGACAAACAGCCGCTTGTTTATTCAACTTAGGTAACACAAGGCCGACGCGCTCACAATTCAGTAACAATGCGGTCGGGTGTCAGACCACGGTGACGACGTGACGACAGAAATTCACGGCGTATTTCGACGTACAACGTTGCCCTGACAACGTAATTAATCTACTTGAACCGACAAGTCTATTAGACTGAAAACAATATCGCATAGCCGTCAATTTGATGCTTGTACGCATGATTGATGATTGTCATAATCCGCCATATTGTGATGATACGTTGGAGATAAAATTCGGGTTGTAGGGATATTACATAATTATGATTAGTAAATTTTGAGATAAAGATATAACTTTACATTATGTTCACACCTACACTGTTTATTGGTACATTGTACGAAGAGCGAGCGATAAATATTTAAATTTGTTACCTTTTGCCATACAAATACTGGTAATACTTAACACATAGTCTATATAATCATTGGTTATTATGTAATCTTTACTATTTAAAAGTATTATTTATATTTGTGTCTCCGCACGTGAAAACAAGAGAACGTCCAGAGCATTCAAAGTTTTAATTAATATTAATCTTCACTTACGATTTCGATCCTTAAACAGATTAAGGATTGGTAAAATTTGCCTGTAGTAAGGTACAAGCGCTTCCCCAACCCGGTCGCTCCCAGTCACAAGCATCTGTATACACTTGAGGGCATGACACAGCACCGAGGGGCGCTTTGTCGCGAGCGCATCTAAACAAACATTCTGTGTTAGAACAAGATTGCGACTTAATAATTCATGACGCTTAACGCATTGAGTATTTATGATTTAAACCTTATACTGGCATTGATTCATATTGATCAGAACAGAACTACTCCTACTTAAATAGTACACTCTCTAAATTTTATATAACTAACGGGCAGAAGATAAAGTAAAGCCTGGGCAAGGGCTTATCTGGGCTTTTAAGAAATAAACGTTTTTTTTTTCTGGAATCGTATTGGATCGGTAAACAATAAAATACAGTTTTGTTAAACACGATTGTGGGTCCGAGGTAAAATCTACCAAATTTCTAGTCAGTAAGATCTGAGTTTTTATATAAATAAAATTACTAGAATTACAAATTATTTGCGTTGGATTTCAATAAAGAAATAACACGCTGATCGCATTACATACGAATTTGAGAGATTGGAATTCTATTATTTTAGAAGCACTCAATTCTAAATCTCGGGTCGAGTTACTGAACTCATGGATGGGAGTTTTTAGGAATCATCCGCTTAAATTGAATTGCTATAACAATTATTAGGAACAATATGTATTTGAAAACTGAAAAAAATTAAGCGAAGTAACTTTTGCGTAGATTTGATGAGGTTTGAGATATTTTATCTTTTACAACTAAAACTATTCATTAAAATCAAATAAATAACGACGCTGCAAAAAAATATCTTAAGGTATATTAAATAAGTTTTGTAGCAAGGTAATAATTCCGAAACAATATTTCATCTTTGTTTGAGTATGAAAATAATATATATAGTTAATAAGACTCACTTTTAATAGGTATTATTAATTGTGGGACTACAGGTAATATTTTGTATGACCCTTTTGTGACCAAATCATGGATTCCCTTCTCAACAATAAAGTTAAATGGGTAGTTTCCTTCTGCGAGCCCGTCAAAAAAAATTGGCAAGTAATGATGAAAATCCAAATTTTCTATTGGTACCTGAAAATATTATTTCAAAATGGTATAATGTTTTCTCTATTTAAATAGTATAATCAGGCTAACTCTGATGAAAATAGTACTTTGATTTCTTTTAAACCAACCATATGTGAAAAATGCATCGCCGGTAATAACTATGCACAAAATTACAAATTCACTCAATGAAACCTACATTAGTAAAATCGAATAAATCTGTCACATGTAAAGAGCATTCAAGTGTACCTTCCACTGTAGTCGTTTCCCGCTGCTGGTGAACTCAATAGAGAGAGGAAATTCACCCCTTTGATAACATCTTCTGAACATTGTCGGTCTCGGGGGCAAAGGATCGAGAACGCCGCATTTTGGAGGCGGCAACACTTTTGTGTTCTTCTGCATTGCCTGAATAGTAAAAGCAGGCACAATCCGCACCTTTTTCTTTCCATAGGGATAGTTTGGGCTCGGCTTCTTCAAGGAGTTTCTGAAATCTTTCCCGCAAAGATCGGGTGTACACGGCGGTAGCAACACCATTATTAGAACATGATACAAAATCGGATAATATCTTTATAAAATGTTGACACGAGTAATAAAATAAGAAAGCAAATTTGTTCACGGGCGAGCCTCTGATTGTTTATTTTGGAACGTGATCGTTGCTTGGCAACGGGTCGCCTATCGATTGATTGCCGACAGCGCCCCCACACTCCCTGTTAAGGCAGGTGTACAACGACGTTCATTATTGAACATTTTGAGAAGAAATATTTTATTTTTAATATTATTTATTTAAATTATATTTTTGTAAATTCTTGGAGATTTAATGGAGCTTAAGTAATCATACTAGTTATAATTGATACTAAAATGATGCGTTTTAGTCGAAAATTAGAAATAAAAAGTTTTAGTATAAACCGAAGTGGAATATTTTAATATACTATATTTATAATTATGTAGATCATTATCATAAAAAATATAATCATAATTAAATGGCAATACATGAACTCCCGACCTAATAGGCGGGCCATGCCGCGAAATTATATTAGCGTTGGAGAATTTTATTACATTTTAATATAAGGTATCTTACAATATCCTCAGCTGGGGAAACTGCCGCGAATTTTGATGGCTTCTGCTTCACATAGAAAATGTACTTTGATAGGTTTTTTCATCGAAAATTTACGGTACGCGAATAAATTGTATTCGATAGATTTTTTATTACTTGTCGAAGTTTTATGTCATTACGGGAATATTAGAGCTCGGGATTGTTTTATGAGTTTCCGAAAAATTTGGCTTTATTTGTTGTACCTATTACTAACAGTTTTTGCGATTTGACAGTCCTATAATTTAACGGAAAAATGGAAAAGTTATTTGACTTTTGTTCCAAATAGTTGTTTACCTAAACCTAAAAATAATAATCATCTATATATATAAAAATGAAACCCGTTTTCCGTTGTCACGACATAACATGAAAACGGCTTGACCGATTTGGCCAATTCTTTTTTAATAATATTCTTTGAAGTACGAGGATGGTTCTTACGGAGAGAAAAATTAAAAAAATTGAGTGAAAAAGTCTAAAAACAACACTTTTCTATATTCCCATACATAATATTCGTAATAATACTTAAAAGTCAATTTGAACTTAAATACCATATCATAAAGTTCAAGTGTTAGTGGAGTGGTTCCGGGAAGGTAAATTTTTATTTTTTGACATAATTTTTTTGTTGTCTTATCAACTTTCTTTTTTTTATCTTAGCTAGACCGGTGTCCCGAATAGCAGAATAAGTATTTAAAAAAATAAGCGACTGTTAGGCGGTACGATGTTCGCCAGGCCAGCTAGTTAAATATAATAATATTGTGATTTTGAAAATTATAAACCCTCGTTTAGCATGCTCCATGAATATCAACCCTTATGTGTTAACCCCTTAACATCCGCCATGACAGAGATTTCGCGGTAAACTGAACGTCAGCCGTCGAGCTTGTTCGATATTTAAAATTTAATATGCGATCAGCTGTCGACCGATATTATGAACGTTTTTACATAATCGTTGAAGTTTTAAAACCTCTTTGCTGTCAACTTAAAATTAATCTAAACTGTTGTGTTTATAATAAGAATTTGGAATATATTTAAATAATGAACGCAAAAATATTGTTTATTAATGAAATACGTAAGACTATGGTTCAATATATTATTAATCATACTAGCTTAAACGGTGATGGAAAACGTAAGAAAACTAGCAGTGGAAACAAAAAAGCTGATCCCCTGCTATAGATATATAGATTACAAGAAAACAGTCAGAAATAGAAGGCCAGGAGAGGTTATTTTGAAAATAATTGTGCGTAACACTCGTAATTAGTTTATTTTTGATAAATGTTCAAGCTGTTTTAGCATAAAAACTAAAACGCGTTTACACATACTATAATAATAAATAATAATGATAATATGAGTTGCTCTTTAAAGGCAATTGTTGAAAACATCCTTCATTTTAAATTTAAGCAAAACATTTGTATTTCATAAACTAAACTCTTAAAATCAGACTCTACTCGAGACAGCTTTAATATTTTTTAAAATACTGAACAAAAAATAATAAAACTGCATAGAATTGAGAGCGTATTGAGCGTGCATCGGCTTCATTAAAAGAGGATTTGCTTTAAAGGGACTGTTATTACCTTATTTCTTTTAAAAATATCGGTTCTTTTTTTTTTTCTTCTTTTCTTTTTCGTTATCGGTAACTTTTAAATATTTTGCAGACGTTTAAGTCCCATTTGATTTAATAAATTTGATTAACTTTAGTAACAACAAATTTTACGTAAAGCATTTTATTAAGATTCTCTTGAAAAATATGTTAAAATAGTTCCTATATCCTTCAGAGGTTGAATTGAAACAGTTTTATGGTGAGAACGTGAGGCCATCGGGTACTTAGCTGCTCGTAAATCTGTCTGTGCGTCTATTTTATGTACGTTGTACGTAGACTATGTTTTATATTACTAACATGTGAACTTGCCGAATCGTAGCGTCTGCTTGTGTATTCGTAGCACTCGCTGGTAGCATATTCGTAGCATTTTAGATTTTTATTATCAAAAGTAATTTATGGGAGATTTATTAAACTATACTTTAATTTTCAGAGAGTCAGTGCGGCTACAGAGTAGGCGATAAATGTTAAAATTAATATTTACTTTGAATTATTTTAAATATAAATGAGTACAAGGGCCCAGACAGTTGGACAACATTATATAGATAACTAGCAGCCAGTACTGGAAAACCCAGAAGTGAACAGCCTCCTCCTATGGCTGCATAATTCAGTAAGCAAATATTGCAAACTTTCTTATTTTATTGTAATTTTATAAAATAATTCCATATTGACCTTTACAGCGTAATTTCCATTGAAATTAATATTATACAAAGAATGGTCTGGAAATTCGAATATTTTTTTCTGATACCATAGAAACAAGGCAATATTACCAATGTAAATTCAAAAATGTGAAAGCAAAAGCTTCATCTCTACAACAGAATAAAACAAAGTAACACAGAGTAGGAAATTGCTGCGTCCTGCCAATGTAGAACTGATTCGGGTTGCGCTGGAATGTGAAAATAAAAAAGGAAAAAAAAAGAAGCAAAAAACAGGTATCGCAAAAGCCGACAACTCCGAATTTTTCCTACGTTTTTCCTTTATCCGTTTTTGCCTTTGCCGGCTGTAGCGTAGGTGTTTAAAACTTGAATTGCTCGAAATTTTACGGTTTAACTCTTTTTTACAGATACCGTCTAAATGTCAGTAATTTTAGGCATTTGAGTTGGCAATTGTTATTTGAAACTGACCATGCTAGTTAGATTAAAACTGTAATTAATTTATAGACTCACCAGTGCAGGCGTTTCTTATAAATTTAACTTACAAAGATAACTTAATTTTTTTTGTTTTCGTGTATTAACAGTATATAAAAGCAGAATTTAAAAGTGTGTTAGTTTTTGATTATTTATTTTGCACAGTTGTGAAAGCACCACAAGAATATCTGTTCTCTACTCATAACGTTGAGGTGTTACTAAAACTATCGTACTACCTCTGTGGCTTCGCTAAAACAATAGTGTCCGGCCATCATTTTAACTTTTTACCATACAACATTTCGAATGGTCTACGCCTACAGCTTACTAGCCTGTGGAATCGCCCAGGTCTTCCCAGAGATACTATGTTCAAAAAGCTATACTTTCGGATACACGCCCCACTAAAAATGGGTCCTCTCTGGCTATTTTGGTCGTAACTTTTAACATACAAAATAACGAATGAATATAAACGAAAGTTAACCAAGCCGTTATATATCATCAAAACGACTGCAATTGAAATGAAATCTTCACAATCTCGCCGAATGCGCCATCTTTCGTAAATAATAAATATTATTCAATGAAATGAATATCCCTTATTGAATCGGAAGCTGTTGAGAAAATAAATTTGATAGGATTATACAGGATTGTATAAATAATAATTGATTGTACAGACGAGAGTTCTGGCAACTACTTGTGTTATGATATGGAGAATGTTATTTCAATACTTACTGATATTCTCAACTTCTGAGTTGAATTAGTATACATTTTTTTTTCACATATCCAACACTTCGCTGCAAAAATGAATACTGGACAAAAACCAGTGGATGTTTATCTAAAACGAGCCTTAAGTTCTGGATTCCGCCGTCGTGCGCCCCCCCCCCCCCCCTTTTTTTTTTTTTTTTTTTCTCCCCCGACAAATCTATATTTTAAAACTTGTTTTAACGATTTTTTTCTAATAGGAAGTCATTGGAACTTGTTGTTTTAGTTGCGACCCCCCCAAACCCCGGTGACGTCAGCCCTTACAAACTCGGCCGAACCCCCAAATATCCCTAAATTTCCCTAAAACCGACCCCCCCCATATCCCGGCGGGGCGGACACACCCCCCCCACGACCCCCCTTTATTCCGCCCCCAAAAAAAAACTTCCTTTTCCCTGTCGTCCTGGGGGGGGGGCCGCTTTCCCCATCCTTTCTTTTTTTTTGGCCCCGCCCCCCCCCCCCCCCCCCCCCCCCCCCCCCGCCCCCCCGGCCGCGGGTTTCCCTCTACCACTGGTTTGGGGGGGGGGGGGCGGCCGGGCGGGGTCTCGTCATCGGGGGGAAGGGCGGGGGGGGGGGGGGGGGGGGGGGGGGGGGGGGGGGGGGGGGGGGGGGGGGGGGCTGAGTCGGTGAGTGTTAATTGCGGACATGGACAGAATGTCCACCAATGGACATGTGACACAGCCGTGGTCGAACTTACCACAGGATGAGGAGAAGCTACCACTGCTCAAAACTTTTATTACAAATTAAACTAATATTAAATTACATACTGTTGTATTATTTATCCAAATACGCATGTGACTTTTGTTAATTACGAAATTCAAATAAAGTGAATTCTACAAACGTTAAATTAGATTAAAGAGCGTTTAAATTTTCAGCCAGTTAGCGAACAAAACACGAAAAATACAAATTCTGAAATCTTAACTATATTTCTAGAAGGTAAAATAAAAAAAAAAGATTTATTTATAAATATTTA